AGATTTTTAAGAGCAGGTTAGACAAACACCTATCAGGGATGGTCTAGATCGGTGGTTCTCACTAGGGCAGCCGCTTGTTCAGGGAAAGCCTCTGGCGGGCTGGACCGGTTTGTTTACCTGCTGCGTCCGCAGGTTCGGCCGATCGCTGCTCCCACTGGCCGCGGTTCGCCGCTCCAGGCCAATGGGGGCTGCAGGAAGCGGCGTGGGCTTTCCCTGAACAAGCGGTGGCCCTAGTTTGAGAACCACTGGTCTAGATAATACTTAGTCCTGCCATGAGTGCAGGGGACTGGACTAGATGACCTCTCGAGGTCCCTTCTAGTCCTATTCTGTGATTCCTGTGTAGTCCAGGCTGGAGTGCATTTGGGGCATTGAGTTGCCATGATCAGCTGGGCTGACGAGCTCTCCATGCAGATCACACAGGAAATGGGAATTCAAAAGTTCCCGGGGCTTCAACAGAGGAGGAACTGTTTCCTGTGTACCTGGCTGTTGTACAGCGGAGTAGAAAATGATCTCCAGAGTGGTCACAGTGGAGCATTGTGAGACACCTCCTGGAAGCCACAATGCTGCTTCTACACTGCCTCTCTGTCGACCCATCAACATCTAATTAAGTGCTATGCCTCTCCTGGAGGTGGAGTAATTAAATCAACATTACAGGCAAGTTAGGTCAGCAGAAATGACCTGGTAGTATAGATACATACATTATTAGGTGGCTTCCATCAACCTAAGTTTGTATTGTAGACCTGACCTAAGTCTACACTAGGGCTTATGGGGGGGTGGGGGTGGAATGAAACCCTACCCAACATAGCTATGTTAGCAAAAGTTTAAATGTAGACCAGGCCTAAGAAAATACCCGAATTCATATAGATCGTTTTTGTTCCAAACTGGAAACTGACCAATAAGACCATGAAATCTGCTTCCACCCAGGAAAGGGACCACAGTGCTTGAAACATTTATCAGGTGCCATGCCAGCATGGAAGTTGGAGGCTTCCCGGGCCATCCAGGAGCAATACTCGGAGAAGCTCTTTCTCCTTCATCCCCAAGGTACTAAGAATGAGGATGAGTAGACAGATGGTGTTGCTGCTGCACCTTGTGGTGAGGGCCCCAATTCTAATAATTTGGTTTTAAAAAAAACCCCAAAAACCACAACTTAAAGGTGATCAAGAGAGGACTTGTTAAAACAAACCAAAAATATTGTGCTTGCTTCTTTTTTACTACTTTATGATAAAGAAGGTGTAATTTTTTTTCTTAAAAGGGTTTTTTTGTGAGTGTTCACTTTTACAACAGTAATATTAGAAATGCCAACTCTAGTCTTTCTTGGTTTTATTGGAGGATATCCAGGTTGTCTTGGAGTTTGTTTATGATGAGAACAGACACCTTGGTATCGGGAGCAGAGGTGATAAGATATTTTTGTTAGATATTGACTTAACAAATTAATATTTTGGAAATTAACCTCAAAACTTTGTTAACAAAATAGTTTTAAACAGTCTGACTAAAAATCCATTCCCCTCTGTAACGCTTCCTGAAGTGGCTCAAGAGTGAGAATATTAACCTCAGGGCAGATTGTTAGGAACCAGGGCACAAACCCAAAATTGGTTGTGAATTCTATAGTTAGATTTTTACCAACCAATTATCAAGTGTAAACTCCTCAGATTCTATAACAGCCTTAGCATGGAGTCAGAGAGGTCCTTTGCATACTCTAATCTATGTTGCCTCCAGGTGAGCGTACCTTTGTGATGGTCCCTTATACCAAAAATCACAGCAATATTGAGGTTACTCCCTGTCTTAAAGAACCTGTCACTCTTCCTCAGGTCAGTTGCACTTAGATCTCACACCAGAGACAACACTTGTAGTCAGTCCTATAATAAATTATATAAAGATATATTATCAAGGAAATGCATCTTGGAGTTATTTACAAGGTTTAAGCAGGTACGCGTAGATAAGATTGTAATTTATTTGTGTAGGTTTCAAAAGGTAATAAAAGCTTCTATAATCAGCAAGCTCTATGTGCCTTTTAGGGCTAACCCTAAGCAGCTGGGTATCTCTCGCTTATGCCTAGAAACACTTTGCCCCCCACAGTTCAAATAGCATAGAGATACCTAATTCCTTTTATACGGGGTTTTAATCACCCTGCTGCCATGTGCTCTGAGCTGCAAACTCAGCTGATAGGAGGAATCCATTTGCATGACTCATCTTCACAGGCAGGGGAGGAGGATGGAGACAGCAGAAAAAAACAATGTCTTTTGTCCTCTTTAAGATCCAACAATGGTCCACCTGATGTCAATGGACCTTTCCTGTTGGGAAGGACATAATGTCTTCTGTTGAAGATCAGCCTTTCACACTAATTAATGTCTCTTTCCTGTCTGCTGAGTTACAGTCACAGAGGCTCACAATGCAATGGCTCAAATATTACCTTACAGTATGGGATACAGATGTTATAAATGAAACTATTGCATACAGCAACTCCCAAGCATTCAATAAAGCCTAAATACTGAACAGTCTTATAATTCTAATGCCTATTTTAATAATACTAACACACAAGTGAGCCAGACTGATTCCAACTGTGCATTTGTCAGGGTTCAGTTGAGACATGGGGACTTGGGCATGAGCTGGCACCTGGTCTCCCAGGGTCACACCCTCTCAATTGGTCAGCTTGCACTTTTTTGTCTCTTATGGTGATGTCATTTCACAGGTTTGCTAGTCATCAGAATTTTCTGAGCTAGACAGGATCTGAATTTCTAATGTGCTTAACACTAAAAACAACAACCTCATCCATCATAAAGAAGAAAAAAGAGCATATGGCTGTTTTCCCCTTTTGATGGTCACCTATTAAATAAATCAGTGCTTTATCTGTGGTGAAACAATAGCCTCAATCTGTGGAGCAAATTCAAATGTTATAGGACTATAAGGGAGAATGTAAACTAAATGGCATAATTTTGACTTATTTTATTTATAGGGCGAATACCAAATTGAAAATAAAAGGCCTGGTTCTCTACTACCTTGCACAATCATTTACCCATTGCAAAATTAATGTAAAACATTAGTGTTCTGATTGTGTAACATCACATCCCAAGCATTCAAAATTAAAGTGAGGTCCCCCCAAATCATGATAAAACAGAAATTTGGCTTTTATTTGTCTTCTGGATTTTTTACCTGTAGTATTGATCTGGTTCATATTTTCAAGCTTTTCTCTACAACTATGAGGGCCAGGAACTGTTTTTAAATGAAAGGTGAGAATCTCACTTAATTTCAGAAGCTAAAGCTTCAAGAAAACACTAAATGTCTCCAGGCTTATGACAAAATTGAGTTGGCAACATTGCTGTTGGCAACAAAGCTCTGAGGAGCTTTGGGTTAAAACAGTCTTAGAACAGCGAGTCCAATAAGCTGTAATATAGAAATATGTTCTGTCTTGAATAGCAGCAAGATATATCCCCAATATTTCATGTACTTTTTAATTTAAAGGCTTTTAAAAATTGTTCTTCTCTGTGTATGCTGTTACCTGTAGATAGCTTGCAGCTGAAATCTTTCCGTACCAAAATATCTATCTCCTCCCATTGTACACTTGTATCTATCTATTTTTGGATTGAGTGCTCTGTGGAGTAGATTCCTTTTAAAGGAAAAATGAGTATTGTGCTTCCATTCCCCAAACCAAATGCATCAAAATATTTTACTAATTTAAGGGTGCTGGCTGTTAACTTGGTAATAAATGAATTTTGGGCTTATAAGAACCCTTGAATTCTCAAGTGTTATTTAGACCAGGATAGCATTATTTGGTGTTTATTTAAATAAGATCACACAATCCAGCAGACCTAGGAGATATATCTGGTAATGCCACAAACAACTTTTTAAAGTCTTCCCTTATTTTTTCTGATTTCTGGTTGTAGGATTTCTCTTTTTACAGAAGTCTTAGAACAGTAGTTTTCAACCTGGAATCTGGACACCTTGAATTTGTTGACTGGTGGTCTGTGGATCTTCTTCTGTCAATGGGGAAACAACTCAGGCTGTGTACACACTACAGCTTACATCGGTATAAGTTATGTTGTTCAGGGGTGTGACTAGCCATCCCCCTGAGCAACGCAAGTTACACCAACCTAAGCACCGGTGTGAACAGGGCTGTGTCGGCAGGAGGGCTTCTCTCGCTGACATAGCTACCACCACTCGGGGGGCTGGACTAATTAAGTTGATGGGAGAACTCTGTCCCGTCTGCACTAGCAGCACTACACTGGTGCAGCTGCCCCACTGTAAGCTCTGTAGTTTAGCCATAGCCTCAGTCTTCAAGCAGCAGTGTTCCCTGCTGTAGGCCAGACTAGGGCACTTCGGATTTTCAGTGGGCTTTTTAACTAACTAAATAAAAAGCATCTCTCTGATCCCTGACTCATGTCTTTGTCAGGTTGCATGAGTGTGTGGGTGTGTGTATTAATATAAATAAATCAATTGATCAGGTTTGTAGAAGACACCAGTGCTGGGAATGTAGCAAACAGGAGGACACAATCAGACTGCAATGAGATCTGGAGAGATTTGATTGGTGATGGAGGGTGTCTGCTGTAGGCAGTGGGCGGGATATGTGGTTCAAATAGTAAAATGTGCCTCCCAAGGGGACAAAGTGAACAGTACAGGCATAAAATCATGAGGTGGAAAAGAATGTAATCTAGTTCCATTAAAATGCGTTTTCATTTTGTTTTCTTGATACTCTTCTAAGTACTCTTTCATGTATCCAAGCCCTGTATTTGCCATAGTTGTCACTGGGATCTTAAGGTTGGGGGGGAAAGGAGGTATCCACAAAGAGGGTTTCTCAATAAGTGATCCACACTCTAAAAGCATGCGAACCACTCGTCTGGAATCATGATACTTGAGTATGTGATGTTAGATATTGGGGACTAGTCAAAGCATCTTGTAGTCATAAGAGAATCTAAAAAGACAGGAAGGGCATTTTAATACTGACCTGAAATCTCTGTGGATTAAATGTTGCTTTTTTGGTGTTGGTTTAGCATCTTTGATTGTTGTCTGTTTTGTTTCAGCTCTATGTAGCCACTGAAGCAATCCTCATTGCGCTAGTAGGGGCGACACCTCCCTACCACTGGGACCTCGAAGAGCTCTCAGCTAATCAAAGCCATAGCAACCAGTCAACTAATGAAGAGAGAGCCTTTGGGGAATGGCTTCTGACAGCCAATGGGAGTGAAGTTCATAAGCACGTGCACTTCAGCAGCAGCTTCACATCAATAGCTTCCGAGGTAATAAATAATGAAATGGGTTTCTCAGCCCACTATGAGATTAATGCATCTCATGGAGGGAAAGTGGGAGAAGTAGAGGAGCTGGTTGTACAATTTTCTTGTCTTGGTTTCCAAACCAATGAGTGTTCTGATTAGCAAAAAGTAGGTGCTGTAGTCCAACTAGAGAACAAGTTGTCTGTTCAAATGTATGCATGGAAACAACAAATCAGCCTTGTTCTGCTATATAGACCTTGCTCATTTGTGTCTCCTCCAAAACTTCAATAACTTTCTCATATGGAAGTTGTACATTACACTGTTGCATGTTTCTAGAAGTGGATTGGAACTGAGAAAAAGGATCAGTGGCATTAGTGTTCAAACTTCTGCATGATGGCTGTGTTCTTCTTACGTAATTTTTGCCATTGTCATGATGGGGCTTAATTCATAAAGAGTGCTATGCTTAAATGTACCCCAGGCAGCCTGCATGCAGCATGAGAACTCGTGAGGAGGTTGCTCTGCAGCTCCTCCATAGCAGGAGCTGTTTGAGGTATTCCAGAGTGAGGTTTAGGGTTTATAGGTTTAGGATTATAAGTTTTTGCAAGTATCCTTCCCATGATTCCCACGTAATTCGCCATATAAACTACTCCAGTCTGTACTGGGGTGGGGATTTAGACAGTGCATGAGATGCTGTGGAGCTAGGCCTTAGATACACATTAACGCTAAATTAGCATATATAGTTGCCCGTTCTGACCTGAATTTAGACCTGTGCAGTTTAGTCAACTGTTAGTGCTTATAAATGTATGGTCAATGTCCAGAGGTATTAATTTAGCTTGGAAATATATGTTTTAAAAAAACTCAGACGTCATTGGTTATGAGTAAGGCTACGTTTTAGTCATGGGTATTTTTAGTACAAGTCATGGACAGGTCACGGGCAGTAAACAAAAATTCACAGCCCGTGACCTGTCCATGACTTGTACTATATACCCCTGACTAAATCTTGGGTGCTCTGGGGTGGTGGGGGGTGGGAGGCACCACAGGTGCTCGGGGCGGGCGGAAAGGCGCTACGGGTACTTTGGGGTGGTGGTGGCCCGGGACCCCACTAGTGCTGGGTGCGGGGTTTGGCAGGGCTGGCAGATTCCCTACCTGGCTCTGCACAGCTCCCTGGAAGTGGAGATATGTCCCTCAGCTCCTAGGCAGAGGTGCAGCCAGGGGTCTCTGCGCGCTGTGGGGATGGCGCCTGCATGCAGAGGCAGCGCACAGAGTTGCCTGGCCACCCCTCAGCCTATGAGCCAAGGGAGGGACATGTCGCTGCTTCTGGGGAGCCCCCCGAGGTAAGCACTGCCCGGAGCCCACACCCCCTCCCGCGCCCCAATTCCCTGCCCCAGCCCTGAGCCCCCTCCCGCACCCAAACTCCTGCTGCTGCTGGGGGGGAGGGGTGCGGTGGCCCGAGACTGCCCCAGCTGCGGCTGGTCCAGGTGCTGCCCAAGCTGCTCAGACGACCCCGAGCCAGCCGCATCAGCTGCTGCACAAGTCACTGAATCTGTGACAGATTCTCAGCCTTAGTTACGAGCATGTTAATAAAAACTGCCAGTTTTAGCACACTCCCAACTAACTCTGTTTAGAGACACTTTCTATGCTGCTCCATTCTGTAGTATAGAACAAAAAGAATGAAGAGTAAAAAAATATATAATGTTCTTAACTCTACATTTAAAATGTGATTGTGTATAATAACTTTAGTACGTAACTTAAGAAAATTTAAATTGGCTATAACATTTTAAAATCTTCTGTAGACACAACTTTTTCTTCAAATGTAACACATCTTCTTAAGGTTAAAAACAAGGGTGAAGAATTCAACTACGTTTGTGTATGTGGCACCAACCAATGTCTTTAGGGACTTAGATTCTCCATAGAATTTTTCACATGGCTTCATTCTGTAAATAAGAGATGTAAGCAAAGAACAAATAAAAAATACTTAGGGAAGTACCTACACAAAAAATTTGTATCTGAACACTCGTATTTTGGAAAGGTTCAGAATTGGGTCTGAACTTTGCAGCACAGATTCATCTTTTTAAAAATTCTGCATCCGACTAAGATAAATTTAAACTACAGCAAGTTTCGGGTCTGCTAGAGGTGTAGTGCGTATTTGGCGGAAGATCACCTCGTGGTATTCTAAAGGTTTTAGCCTAGATTTTTCAAAAGTGATGCGATTTTTTTTCTGGGTGCCTAACTTGCAATCTCTTAAAGGAGCCTGATTTATAGAGATGAACAACCACACTGTGAAAGTCATCCTTCTTTAGGCATGTCATAATGAGCACTGAAAATACCACTTCTCAAAATCTAGACCCTTGTTGACAAGTTCTGAATGATCATGTTTCTCGTGAGATATTGGACACCATGCCATACTAGAAATTGGAGCTTTAAACTATTGGAATGGGGAGATTTTCAGACTTCAGTGTGGGATGCAGTACTTGTCCTATTGCATGGAAGGTTCTGCTGTAGTAGGCTTTAAAGTTATGTGGTAGCTAAAAGGTATTAGTTATAATTTTCCTTTTTAAGTTCTGTTCAATTGAACTCCTAATAACTGTGGTACCTGGCTTTACAGGTGGAAAGAATAGTCCTATTAAAATACTGTCAAATGTACAAAAACTTCCTAAAAAAAAATTTCTGTAAAATATGTTTTAATAATTCATGATGGAGTGGTCTAAAGACATTATCTGCATTTATTTGGGATGATCTGCACAATTGTCTTTACAACTCATGAGTAACTTTAATGTGGCCGTAACAAATTCATAGTGGAAAAAATCGAATAACTCACAGACTAAGTATTCTTTCATGAACTGATGTGATGTAATGGGCCTTATACAGGGAAAAAAGTACTAAGTCTTGACTACATTAAAACGAAGTTCTTCTAACCATTTGGGTGAATTTAGAGAGCAAATTGCTGTCCGCTGTACCTGAATTATTCCCTGAGCTGTGACTGATTCAGAAAGCATCAAGTATCACTGACACATGATTATCGGGCTTAATTAACATTTATATCAAGAATTACACTATGATTCTTGTGATATTGCAGAAAAAAACCTGATAATTGAAATTAATGTGTATATGTTATCGGAGTCCTGTTCTCTAGATGTTTCTACATACTGTGGAAAAAACATTTGAAAAATGCATGGCAATAATTAACTTTCAAAGCTAATTTTCTCAAGCATCTGGATTCCTTATGGCCATGTTACTAACTATAACAGCATGCACATATCACCCATTAAGTGATAATTCAGAATGACATACAGTAAGGCGAATCAAGTTATTTTCATGGTGTTCCTGAAATATTCTGTAGGCTTTGATTACATGTTTTTGCTGCTTTTGATGAGGCTGTTCATTACTGGACTTCAAACCAGTTTTTTAAGCTCTGCTAGAAAAACCATATGTAACAGTGTTTGGAGCATCTGGGTAGTAGAAGAGGGAAGGGAATTCAGAAGGTCAGTGCACGGATGTTTCAAGAGTGGGGAAAATGGCACAATCGTGTCAGGGAAAGGATCTGGATGTTGTTGTTGGGAAATGAACACAGCAGCAATGAACAGGGAAAGGTAAGCAAGATAGTAGGTTGTAGTGGAGAGAACACAAGAAAACATAGTATCATTGAACAGTATGGAACGCTATTAGGTTCATTCTGGAATTCTTTTGTGTTGGAGGTTATTGCCTTGTAGAGGCTGCAGTATATAGACCTGTTACAAAAATGAAACTGGATCTGATTTGTAGGGCTGGGTTTGTTCTTGGAATTGAAGAGACTTGGGTGTTATCTAGTAGAAATGTTCATAATAACAAAATGAATTGTAAAGTTGACCGAGGTAATTTTTTTACTCTGATGAAGGGTTCAGGAACTAGGGGACCTATGAGGTGAATATGGGCAGAACAGTTTCTTGCTAAGGATAATGAAACTTCTCATCTTCACTTTCAAGGCTTTGTACAGCTCTCCCCCAGTGTTTCCCTTCTTAGCTGTCAGTGTCAGCCTTGATGCCACATGTTTCCTTCTCCCAGTTCTTCATTAATGCCTCTTTCCATGCTACATCCTGTTTTTGGAATAAACTCCTAATGTCACCTAATGCTCTAGGTCCCCCACCTTCTCATTCAAATCCTTTCTAGAGTCTCACTGCTTGTATTGCTAACCCCAAGAACTCAATCATGAGTTAGCCTCCCCGAAAAATCATATTTTTGTTTGTTTTTTTGTTTGTTTCTGTTACATTTTTGTTCTGAGTGTTTAGGGTGCACTTGGGTCATGTTTGGGGGTAGAGGGCGTATGGACCATGACTATACTTTGGCCAAGAAATTTGAACCTTCGCAAAAAATAATTGACTACGCCTTGCCTAGATTAACAGCTCTGGAGACTCGTGTTATCCACAATACAGGTACAATAGATACAGTGCTAGGGAAAGTTTTCCCCCTTCCCCCACCCCACACTGCCTGCTCTTCTTTTAAAAAAAAAAAAAAAAAAAAAAAAAAAAAAAAGCCAGTGTTTCCAAAGGCAGAAAAGTAGAAGCCAACCAAATGGATCTCACTTACAAGGTAGGTCATGATGAGGAGAGCTAGAGTCATCTTTGGACCCAAATTGTGACCCTTAACTCTGTGTATGTTGCCTAGATACAATGGTCATGTACATATGGGTACGGAGATGAAAGGTACGTAGGTTAAAAAAACAACAAAGCCAACAAAAAATAATGTTCCCTTGAGGAACCTAACCTTCTCAGATGTGAAAGGCATTACTGTTTTGGAGGAGGGGAGGAATTGTACAATGGGTCAAAGTCTTTAGAGTGTTTGGGGTGATATTTTGGTGACTAAAGTGGAGGTTGAGGTGGAGTTTTGTTTTTAAAAGATTTTTCCTCCCCAAGCTGTTCACTTCTTGGACTTCGACTAAAGCTTTTTTTTCTTCTCCCTAGTGGTTTTTAATTGGGAACACATCATACAAAGTCAGTGTCGCCAGTTCGTTTTTCTTCAGTGGTGTCTTTGTTGGAGTGATCTCTTTTGGCCAGCTCTCAGATCGCTTTGGGAGGAAAAAAGTCTATCTCACAGGTAACCCACTGCAGCCCTCACAAAACGACTGGAGAGAAATGTTATTGTCTTGTTAGTGCCTCAATGTCTGTCTCAGAAGACACAGTAGCAGTTATTCAAGTTTTGTGGAAAGCCAAGGCATAGAGATGAATGTTGCGTCTTCCATTACACACAAGGAGCCCAAGTTGGGGGCAAGTAATCCATATTTGTGTGCTCAGATCAGCACTTAAATGCCTGAAGTGTTTAAGCAACCAGTTGTGAAGATGGGACCCCCAACACGTGCCTAAACTTAAAAGTTGGGCCCACATTGTTTGTCATGATGTTCATGATCCCTGAATGTTCCACAAAATGAAACTAAAATTTCAGAGTATCAGAAATTAATTATTCATTAACCTCTCTTAATTGTCAAGGCTCCTAAAAGTTCTAGATGAGTTTGTCATCACTTCTTAAATCATGCATGCTAGATATTTGTGAGCTTAGCAGAATTTTAAAACCCATGGACCTTATGTACCATTTTCATACCATACATTTGTTCGGGGGATTTCATGTACAGGACTTATATTAAAATTTAACTTTCTTTTTAAAAAGCATGACATATTTTTAAGTCTTGTATTAACTCAGTGCTGGTAAAAGATGTCTGACCCTGAACGCTGAAACCCTCTAGTAACAGAACAGATACAGGGAAGATTACAGCAGTGCAAACTTCCTCCACACTGTTTTCTGACAACAAGGAGGAGATATGACCTGGAGAGAGAACTTTTCATGGCCTGTTCAGTCCTGGGCTTCTCTGTTGAAACTGCTAACAAGATATCCTGGTTACTGTCAAATGTGATGATGGCTTTTCTGAAGAGAAAAACTGCTCACTATGAACTGGTGTGGGGTACTAGTGCAGTAAATCCTGTGAAGACCACCACCTTTCTTAGGCGATCTCCTTTAAGAGATTGCCCCAGTGTGCTTACTACAATCCTGCCCCATCATCTACATTAAGCAACAGACTCTTGTAGGTCTTGAATATGATTTGATTAGAACAGGTTTCACTGAGTGTCAAGTAATGCTCATGCTAAATGCTGTCTTTCTCATTCAGGTATTTTTCTGAAATTAAATCTTGTGCTTTGTCTTCCAGGTTTTGCCCTTGACATCCTGTTTGCCATTGCAAATGGATTCTCCCCCTCATACGAGTTCTTTGCAGTCTCTCGCTTCTTGGTGGGGGTGATGAATGGAGGGATGTCTCTGGTGGCCTTTGTTCTACTGAATGAATGTGTGGGCACTGCCTATTGGGCATTAGCAGGTACAGCTTCAGTTGCAACACTTTTATAGAAAACTGTTAAGCTCTAGAGATCTCTGTTTAAGCACTTGTGTCAAGAAATGCCAAATGTAATGTTGCAAACTCTGTTCCCTTGTGCATATGCATGATCATACAGTCTCTGAGCCTTGCCACATTCAATGTACACCTTAGATGAACACAGTAAATGACTTTGGGCCACTTCAGATTTCTGCACCACTTAGACTGGACACTGGCAAATGCACATTAGTTGAGGCACTTTCCTCTGCACACTATGCAGCTGAACAAACCACACATGTATGCATGATATTGCATTCCTTCACTTAGAACTTTGGACCCAGGAATGCACTTCTCAAGGGGAGCTGTTTGACTGCCAAATTTCAATTCCTTCCTCCCTCATGCAGTTTTGGTGTAGCAGGACTCAAAAAAGCCCACAAGATTTTTTTTTTAAATAAAACAAACAAAAGATTCCCCCCCCCTCCTTTTTTTTTTTTTTTGTATTCTCCTTATACTCAAAAGTGGCCGGACCACTTTTGCTTAAACTATCCCCCGCCCCAAAAAAATCATCCTGTGGTAAAAATCAGCCTAAAAACTTAAAATAGAAGAGAGGCAAGGTGGATGAGGTAATATCTTTTCTTTGACCAACATCTGTTGGTGGACGAGACAAGTTTTTGAGCTTCTCAGAAGTCTTCGGGTCTGGAAAAGGTAACAGAAATTAGTCCTACAAAAGATATTAACTCACTCATCCACCTTGTCTCTCTCAGATCCGGGGACCAACGTGGCTGCAACAACACTGCAAAGAACATATAATAAAAACATTTAGACACCTTTAACTGTAGTTGTTACTGCATGACTGCTAGCATAGTGCCTGCAAATTACACTGCTCCAAGGTCTGGAACTTGACACATTTACGCTTTGCCTAATGCCAGGAAAGTGCGTGGCTGAGGGATCAGTGACAGTTTTAAAGCTTAATATCTCATGAACCATGAAGATTATATAAACTAATGTTTTATGTTGTTGGAAATGTCATCTTTCCAATAATTAGTAGTATTAGTTTTCGAGTGTGGGAGGTTGCAACAAGCCACGTGGGGGTTATAAGAGCTAATTGTTTTATACTGTTTTCAAATTGATGGGTGAAAAGTGCTGTAGGAGGCCAAATAATTATTTTTGTAGCATTTTTCTTTTGTCCTGTTCTTTTCCTGTTTGTTAAGCTTTTTAACAGTTCTTCCCTGTTAAGGATCTGTTTTCTGTGATTTTGAGTCAAGTAGCCTTTTTGTGCATACTTCCTGCCTTCCTAGTAAAGTGCTAGTCTCTCTGATCACACATAATGGGGATGAGCAATGTTGTGAAATGGTTTGTAACTTTTTTTCCCCCCTATATGTTTCCAATGTGTTAGGATCGATTGGTGGCCTGTTCTTTGCAGTGGGAATTGCCCAGTATGCTATGTTAGGGTACTTCATTCGCTCCTGGAGGACTCTGGCAGTTGTGGTTAACCTGGAGGGAACAGTAGTCTTTCTCCTCTCTCTGTAAGTTATTGTTTTTAAAATTGTTTCATTGGCCTTTATCAAAAGAGTAGGAATTGAGAAAGTAGGTCAAAGTTCTCCAAGGATCAAATGGAGCACTAGGGAGAAGATAGTGGTACTTCTCTCATACACCACATAGAAATCTCATGTCTCTCTTACATTGCAGTGCTGACATATCTGCAAACTTGAGTGGCCTAGATATGCCATATTTTTATTACTCTGAATGTTATTCTTACTCTCTAGTATGATGATTAAGACAGCTTACTCTGCACTTTTCATATACCTGAATATGCTGGATTTACACATTTACTACAAGATGCTGCATATATGTAACTACATGATCACATGCTATTTCTCAGTTTCAAGGGCAGTATCATAATGCATGCACACAAGGGACAGTATTGAGGTTGTGCATACAATCTTAAAGGTGACCTACAAAAGGGAAAAATTTAGTTTGGTGCCATTTTTTTTATTACATAAAGGTTTTTATTAAAAGCAGTATTTTTTTCTGTTTGTTTGTCTTTCATGTTTTGGATCTTGTGACTAGTTGTCCATTCGGCATAGCCTTCCAGCCAAGACATCACGAGCAAAAATTTAGCATTTGAAAGTGACATTTTAAATAAATGAAACCTTTATTAGAGATTCAACACATTCACCCCTTCAGTTGAGGTGTTACAATATAAATCCCAATGAGAACTTTGCTCTTCCCTTAGTGAAGAGTCTGACTTGACATTCCTGATATTTCTAGGTTAAAAATCTTTAGTTAAAAACACCCTAACCTTTCAGCTTGTCTTTCTGAAGCAAAATAAATTAAAAATAAAAATGCTTTACTCTCAGGACTCCAAAGCTCTGCTCAAAACTACCTCTCTACAGTAAGTGCAGTTTCTGTACCAAATCTCAGTCCTCCAGCTGTTTGACTCTAGAGCTGTTCAAAAAAAGATTGCAAGAATGTTCTGTGTTAGGAAAGGAACATTTTCTCCTATCTAACTTTTTATGCAAAGGTGGCTGGATCACTTTTGCTCACATTAGATATGTGTTTAAAAAAATCAGCTTTGGGTAGAGATCACAACCTGGAAAGGTGAAAGCTTCAGGAAGTTATAAGCTACTGAAAACAAGGGGCACAGGAGGATTTTTATAGGCAGGAATCTCAGCTGTACGAATCAGATTCTGCCAATAGGGAGTGATAGAGCTGTTTTGCAGTGGCTATTCTGATGCCTGCAGGAGAGAATTTTGGACAGTGTTGGGGCGATGATGTGAGACAGCTAAACCAGTATAGTTTTTCATAACCAGCAGCTGCCTCTGTACTGTAACTGCTTAATCCATACATCCTTAATTCTGTATTTCTCTAATGCAGACTCCTAACATTTGAGTGGAATTTTAATATACAGAGCAAAATTGTTGCATGTTAGATACCCAGAAAATTGTGAAATAAAGGTGCTCTTATTCGCCCCACTTTTTATTAAAGTGTAGTTTACCTGCAACTACAGATGAATTCTAAACCTGTGGATGAATTCTAAACCTGAGGTGAAGTGTTGTTTGAAAAAACATGCTTTACATTGAAATGTCCTTCAGCTTTATTCCAAATAGGCAAATCCAATCATCTATAAGGCCTGGTCTACACTAACCCCCCAAGTCGAACTAAGGTACGCAACTTCAGCTACGTGAATAACGTAGCTGAAGTCGACATACCTTAGTTCGAACTTACCGCGGTTCAGACGCGGTCCACACGCGGCAGGCAGGCTCCCCGTCGACTCCGCGGTACTCCTCTCGCCGAGCTGGAGTACCACAGTCGACGGCGAGCACTTCCTGGTTCGACTTATCGCGTCCAGACCAGACGCGATAAGTCGAACCCAGAACTTCGATCCCCAGCCGCCGAACTAGCGGCTGGGTGTAGACCAGCCCTAAGAGTAGGGCCCTAAAGCCTCAATGAAATCTCTGTTTCAGATTCATTCCTGAATCCCCCCGCTGGTTATACTCACAAGGTCGGCTGAGAGAAGCAGAAAATGCCCTCTATCTCATTGCAAAGAGGAACTGCAAGCAGAAATGCACTTTTTCACTAAAGCTCCCAGCTGACAGGAGTCACAGAGAGACCGGCAGTTTCTTGGACCTGTTCCGATACAAGATCCTTTTGGGGCGCACTTTGATCATGATGTTTATCTGGTACTTGCAATTCTTTTTAAATTCAGCTCTTTTTAAAGTATTTGAAAAACGTGTTGTTGAGAGACAGCTTGTCATGCTTTGTGTCTTTATTACTAAGGGCATTGTGCATGGAACAGGATCTTTGTTTGAGTTCCTTAACTCTTGGTGCTTATTCTTCACCTGATGTCATTTTAATAATCTAGGCCTGAGGTACTTCATCTTGACACTTCTATGATCCTTTTCATCCAAGAATCTCAAAAGTAGTTGAGAACTGTGTCTTTCCCTACAGCCCTTAAAATTGCTGAGATTGGTCATGTCCTAGTTCTTTGGCCCAAGGTTGTGGGGTTTTTAGTCTGATTCTTTTTTAGTGCCCAAATTTTTTGGTTCCTTTTGGATAGTAAGCCAATTTTATTCTAGTATTCAAGATACTGACCTGTTCAGAGAGCTGCTTTTAAAAAATAAATATCTAGTACTTTTCATAAAAGGATCTTAAAATTCTTTACAAAATCCCTGGTCCGGCAAAGATTTACACCCTTAAGGTTAAACATGTGTACATCCTTTGCAGGATCTGGCTTAAAGTTGGGTAAGATCAAATTTTCAAATGGAAAAGCTGGGGGGGTTACATGACATAATGGCATTTTCAGGAATAAAATCCAGGTCTCCAATTCTCAGTCCCCTGTACAAACCACTAGCTAATACTGTTTCTATTTTTAAAATAGAAAATCTTCCTTTTGTAATACTGCCATGACAGCAACCAGTTGTGGTGTCTGTCTTCTCTGTCTTAGAGGTTTATACCGCTGCCCATCATCATCATATCAGAGTACCTTCCATGTAAAATTAAGTGGACTTCATGGAGTCTTTGGCACTACCCGCTTTTCAGGGTAGTAATTCTGATTGGAGTAGGGTTTTGTTTTTGACTTCTTAAATTTCTTTAACCTTTTTTAGGTTGACTTTTGTTAGAGTAGATTTTTATTGGTTGGGGTTTTTTGGGACTGGGGTTTCTAACTTCAGGTGAGGAATAATCAGCAAAAGGAGACATCATTTTTATATTTAAGATGTTTTAATGCAATATTCTGTGATAAATAAGGGAAGAAAAGTAAAGTAAGTTATTAAACAGTTTTTTGAAACTTTCTATATAATAATACAGTGTCATCTGCTCTGTTAGAGATCTGGGGAGCCACTAACAAACAAAGTTTGTAAGGCCAGTTTGTTTTGTAAGCAGAAAAGGAAAAAAGCTGATTTATGAATGTGATGTCTAGACAGACTGGTGATTGGTGCTTTAGAAATTCAGGTAGAACTGTTTCAAACATTATCAAATAGTATGTGTATAAACATGGACAGTCTGATACAATAGATTCCTAAGAATAAATTATTTCCCTTGCTTGTGGGGATTCCACCCCAGTAATGATAGGTGCACTTTCTGGTAGCATTTAATGTTCCTGCAATCCAGCAGTGTCTTGAATTCACTGCAGGTGAAATGATTCTCCTTTTGCCTGGCAAACACACTGCAGTGCACAG